TGATGACACCGCTGGGTCATTAATTGGGTCGCGGATACATTAGCCCACTGCCGAAAAAATCGGCAAATATCAAAGTATTTGCTTTTCCCCATTCAAAGCAGGCTCGACGTAGTTTCTTGGACGAGAAGCCTACGACAGCCGGTTTGTCAAGGATTTCAGCATTACCGCTGCAACTGTACGATTTGCTCGGGCAAAATCGGAAATTTGAATGGACGAGAAAAATGTTTGAGTGTCACCGCGCGGATGTTGGACCACTGACTGACTATCAAAATTCCAAAGGTCAGATAGATGTTCACTGTTGCAACGGACGCTAGTGATCGCGGTCCCGGCGAAGTCCTAAAGCAAAGGGATGGAGTTACTGAATATGCCAGTCTCGTCCTGACTGACGCTAAACAGAAGTACTCGACCATTAAGAAAGAATGTTCAGCGATCGTCTGGTCCCTGGATAAATGAAGGCGATATCTGCGTGGGCAAAGAATTCATGTCGAAACCGATCATGCATTGGATGAGAACCGCCAGAGATCCTCGAGTAAGGCTCGCGTGCTGGGCCGTCCGACTGCAAGGTTACAACATCACGATGCAGCACGTGCCAAAGAAAGATAACAACTTGGCTGGTTGGCTGTCAAGACCAGAGGTCACAGATGAGGTCCTCAGGATCATGATTGGAGCCAATAGCCTCGTCGCCGAACTGGATCCCGGAAGGTTGGTGCAATTCAAGCGACACGATTCTGTTTTACAAGTGGTTGTAGCCGCTTTTTTAGATGGAAGGAGCATTGAAAACGGAGAGGGAGAAAAGGAATCAGAAACGCTTCAGAGTCACTTTGAATGAGCCCGAATGAGGCCGCCATAATATCCTGGAACGCCATTGATTCGGATGTTGTGCGACCCATGATGCCTAGGGTTTTGAGACGGAGGCGCATCATCGAAAGCCATGAGGTGGCATATACTTTGGCAGAGGGCCTACTGGCCCGGGGGGAAGTGCGGTGATGGATTATGTGGTGTCCTATAAGCGATGTCAAATAATGGAAGGGGACACGACAGGGCAGTCCCACCCATGAAACATGTTGCTGTTCCAGAAGGCGGAGTGTTGTGGTCGGTGAACGTCACCGGTCCTTTTCCGGTGACATCCAGGGGGAATCAATACATTGTAACAATGAAAGAACACCTGTCTTTGTGCAACGAAGCCACATTCCTACCTAATTGGCAGGCATAGGCAGGCGACGGAGTGGTAATGCACCTCATCGCGGCCAACCATGATGTGCCAGAAATGATCCCTAGCGATCAAGGGCATGGCTTCAAGCGCGAGGAGTTTAGGATCTGCTTGCAGATGCTGGGTATCAGACGGCTAAGTTTGGCACCATACCACCCACAACCAAATGGCCTAAGTGAACGATCAAGTGGTGGCCTGGGGCCAAACGAGTTAACTGGGTGGTGAACTTGCCGATTATATTGCTAGCCCATCGTGCCTCCGTACATCTAACCACAGGCAAGTCCTCCATTATGTTGATCTACTGTCAAAATCCGTGCCTTCCGTTTGATAAGTAAATGGGCTTGTGGCCGGCAACGTGCTTGTCTCTGTAGCAGTTAGAAGAAGAAGGATGGAGCGCTCGAAAAAAGGAAGGGTCTAGGCAGAAAACGGCAAGTAAGAAGGCACGAACTTTCCCCATATGCACGAAGTTCAAGAGGAAGGATCACCAGAATCCTGGAAGGAATGGGCTGGGTTCGCGAAGGCTGTGTAGTGGAGGGGGGTGGGTTTTTCGTTGCCCATCGCCGGTGAACGTCCATGCGATTCAAGATGGCCGTGGATCAAAAATAGTAAATGGGACGCAGATCCGTAAGCAGCATGATACATCGAAAAGGCGGCCGATTAGACTCGCTAAGGAAGCCGAAATGACGGAGGTAAATGAAAATCAATGGCACGCGAACGACCTTCAAGGTGTTGTTTAACGTTGATACGACTGTATAGGGGAGGAATTTGAGTATTGAGCTCTCTTCTAGTGAACTCGTTTGAAAAGGGAGATCTTTGCGGAATTTGTTTACGCGCTTTGTACCATTAGTTTGAAATTAAGCAACTCTCAATGGTTATCCTGGAAAGTTCAGCAAGACGCGTTTAAGTGAAGACGGGTGTTCAGTTTTCGTAACCAGGATGCATATGAAATATTCGCCTACATGTTCAATAGTACATAACTGGTCACCTGACATTTTGTATTAAATTACTCTGCAGCAAGGGCCTTCTTCCTGTCACTGCTATTATGAAGAGTTTGGGACAGCTCCAACTGGGATACACGTTTTCACTATGACGTTTTAATACAAATAGCCGCATTAATGTCCCCGGTGACAAAATAAATTTTAAAGACACTCATAAAATCAGCAGATACGTGAAAACAATTTTGTAGACTCAGGTTGCTACTCAGTACTGCCTGAAGCGCATATACGCATAAGGATTTCCCAGAAGACATCATAAATCATCAGTGTGCACGCACTTTTGGAATGACTTTGCACAAGCGCAAGCGATCAGTCAATGAACAAGCTGATCGAAAAAGTCGACCTTACCTTGTTACAATAAACTTTGTACCGCAGACCTATGAGATTTGTGGTGGTTACCTTTTTTATTTGTGAGGCAAAGTTCGATTCGCAGGAGGCGCACAGTATAAAATTCCAGCCACTAGCAGCTTCAAGTAATCCTGAATATGATGCGTCGTTGTTTGCTCCTTATTGCGTTCTTGTTCTGCATCGGGCACGTTGCATGGTTGGAAGCCATCGGTGTCCACAATTGGTCATCCATATTTAACAATAATCCGTCAAAGAATTGGGTTGTCCTTGTCGCTGGTTCCTACACCTGGGAAAATTATCGACATCAAGTACGTTTCCGTTGGTTTTGTGTTGGCTTGAGTCTCCACAGTTCACCTAACTCCCGTAAGAAATTGTTTTCATAGTGTAAGTTTCCAATAAAGGTCACCCAAACAGTTGTGTCCTACCTAATTTTCTCCAAGTGTCACATTTTACTCGAGATGACGCCACAACTAACACAAACACCAATGATCCCACATTTTGTGGTCTGCACTCGTTTTCGTCAGCAGTTCCCTGTCGCAAAACCATATTTTGTTTTGGGTAAGGTCGATTATCCGGTCCTATTAAACTCAGTTGTTACTGATTACATAGTTTGATTCACGTTAATCAGAATCCGACTTTCGTCACCCATAAGTTTATCATTGTGTTATGTCTTGTGAAATCACGGCCTTTGAGTGGGAGGCATGGTGTTGTCGAAAAATGTATTTGATGGCTTTCCAGCCACCACTACTCATCTGACCTGACATGGAAGCTTCATTATATAACAGTAGCGCTCCCGGACTCCGCAGTACCGTAGCCTAGAGTGACCTGTTGTATGAACGGGGACTCAGAATCCTGAACACAGGCCACTGACGTACCAAGAACATTGGCTGTTTCGGCGTAAGCACAGAAATTGCTAGACAATGTGAGCGGGTAAATTTATGCTACTTGGTGAGATCAAGTAGTTGGAATATACACATACAAATCTATCTTGGTCAAATTCGTTCGTCCGCTCGTCTATCACTTGCATCGGGCTATACGAGAACCGTATTGAAAATGTTACACATAATCAGTGCGTGTTTATCCATTATTAAGATTCAGCGGGTACTAATTTATTGCTACTGAGTTTCGCGACAATATGACTTTTCATCTAGCACAGAAGCGAACGACAGATTCGGACGTATTTTCGAAGCCAAGTGATACTAATACTGCACAGCTTCTGTGGGCAGGTCGTTGTCCTGACATGTGAGTGAATGAGGAACTGTGTTCCACACAAGCCCTACCACAGCAGAATCATGCTTCCTGTTTATTGGATAATGCATCCAAATACTGTCGGGATAACTGATACCCCACCAGTTATGGATTATAATACACTCCCTGATTGCCTTCTTCAGACGCCATGCCCCACCCTGACGGTTATCCCAAATTCAGGTGTCATTTGTATTCTCATTCAGGCGGACGTTTACCACGCGTATCGAGTCGTGCGTGCAAACAAAGTTCCTGCGGAGAATATAATTACCTTCGCCTACGACGACATTGCAAACAATCCCAAGTAAATATCGCGTACTATTTTCGCTATATGGTAGCAAACAGAATGTAGAGAGGGCGCTCCATCGTTTAACCTTAATATGTCTCATTATCTCGTCGTATTTCCAATCTATGTAATTGGTTAATTTGAGTTTCAGGTAATTATGGGTTTTCGTGTGTCACTTCAGATGTCCTAATATATTTTCTTATGGTTCATGTCTTTTCAAGAGTGTAGGCGCCTGATGCAAGCAGCACATTCTGATGATGATGATGATGACGATGTTAGTGATATGAACCGGAGTGAGAACTCGTTTCCGCAGCCTGAAACGAAACCCACTGATATCTAGATGTTGTTTGAATGCATCAGCCGGCTGATGATTTGGAGCAAATAGTAAGCAGGCAATCTACGATGCTAAATATTTTCATGCAGCCGGAGAGGACAAAAACCTTCTAAAAGCATTAATGATTAGTCCCTGCGTGCAGACTGTAACAATCGTAATTGGTTTATTACCCCATTCTTTCGTTCGGCTGTAGGATCCTCAAGGTGCCTACCTACCATGACACGAAGCTTGCACGAGGGCTGGGAGACTCAGGTTTCCCAAGACTAGACTGATGTGGCGGTAGGCAGAAGAATCACTGCTTTTTGCATTCCTTTATTCCAGAAATCCGTTTAAAGGCAGAGTGTTCCATGAATACCAGCACGAAGATGTGTACAATGGTGTAGTGATTGACTACCGTGGAAAAGTAAGTCCGTGTTCCGCTGCGCAGCAATCAAGTCAGTGCCTGCATCAGTTCAACGTGTAACACACGGTGAAACTAAAATGACAATGCGGATCAAAACACAATACAAACAACGTGGCGGATTAATCAGTTTTGCTATATTACGGAATGGTAAATTCACTTGGACGAACACTAGTCGTAAAGTCATAGAGAACTCTCAGTTGCCCATGACCGAGTTCAGCCTGCTTCTATTGGTCTCCCAAATGGGCTTGCGTTCTTGTCCAAAGAACCACGAAAAGTGCACGACGGCCAACATTGCACGATTAGCTTTCTCCGGGGAAATATCTTGTGATGTCCCGAGTGATGCACCAACCAATCCAAGCAGTGTGTACAGTACAGCACATTCGGCTAAAGAAAATCATATCGTAGACGTTCAACTGTGATTTAGTTGAGCAATGATGAGTGGTACTCACTTCCAGATAGCGGCTAGCAGTCACGTATGTTGCACTCCTTTGCTACTGTGGAAGACGAGTGCTACCTGATCGTGTTTCCAGGAAGTCCGTGTTCAACTAAATTACCGAACCTATGCTTGAGGAGCAAATCCAAATGTCATGTCTGGCGAAAACACCAACATTCGATTTATTCAGTTTGCAGCACACAGAGACCTCGCGTATAAAATATGGGTGAGAATGGAGGGCAGCTCTTAGATTTCAATCATTTTTCAGGGTGAAAGTTGATGGTTACTGGGAAGAGAGTGAGTGTGGGGAACGCCATTGGCACAAGAATAATTGGTCATGCATGTTCATCCGTTTTAGGATGTCACACCGAGTAATTTCCTGAAAGTATTAAAAGGCGATGATAAACTTGAAGCCAACAAGAAGAAGGTGCTGAAAAGGTGAGTTGGCGCGGAAGTGGATGTTGTTCATACACTTGTTGATCACAGCCAGAATTCTAGGTTTGCAGGTCACGGTCTTCGGATTTTCGAAATGCGTGTTTAGTATTATCTTAAGTAACTTGGTAAATAATCTTTTCGAGTGAGCCTCCCAGAAGTCACTCAAAATGATTTGCTTCCCTCCAGGGGAAACCCGGTTTATCCGTTTCCGACTATGGGTTATTATTAAATCATAAGCATAAGTCGATATAGTGGAGAGGTTTCAGAAATATTCAGATATGCGCAGTTTTGAATGGTCAAATATCTCCTTGGTCTTGAACAAATTGGGGTCGCTCGATCTTGGTTTACTGGTACTCACGGCGTTAAGCAACGCAAATTAACAATGTTGTTTCGGTGGTAGAAATCCAAGTGCACTGGTGGCCATGTCGGCTTATGGCGTTGACTCAAATCTGCATCGCGATCCACCCATAATAGCCTCAGCTTTCAAAATATCTGTCTCGCCTATGTGGGTTGATAGCGTCACAGTTGATCTTTCGAAATTCCCCGCACGCCTTCTTTACCCTCGAATGACAGGATGAAAAGCGTCGGCATACAGAAACAAGCCTGGAAACGGGGCAAATCTTTGTTCATTCGCAACCCATATGTCTCTCATTTAGGCGTTTATACACATTTTAGATTTGCATTTTGTGGCAATATCCGTAATCACCCGCTCTTTGAGCGTGTTTTCTGATTAACCGGTGCTCTGTACACATACATATTCCCAGCTCTCGTGAACCGAGCTTTTCGTTCACAGCTTAACAAAAGCCTCCTTGATTTAAAAGATTTTCTGAACACCGATTTTTGGGCGTTCTTCAAGCGCATCGTGTTAGTTGGTGGTCTGATATCATTCAGCTTTGCTTCCGGGAACTTAGTGCCTCGTGGTAGATTCGATTCGACAATTCAAGGCGGTGGCCTGGTAGCTGTTCATATAGGCTTTATTCTGAAGCTTCGGCAGTCCCCACAATAGCTTCGTGTGGGGAGTTCCTACATTCACCCTCCCAAAGCACTCAGTTTGACAAACACTAATTTCTGAACTAACCCGCCAAGTGGTAATAGATATGTAGCACTTTATCTTCTGTCGCCTGGAGTATGAAGTTTGCGCTGCCTGTCACGGATAATATATTATTTTGTAGCAAGGTAGTTTTCTGCAAAACTATATTTTCAGATAGAATATTTCGTTGGGATATTCAGAAGAGATATTTATTGTTACCTGACACATTGTGATTATAATAGTTTTTATTTCGAAATTAGGCTAACTTTGTACAAACCATTATCTTAGGTGAGCTCGGTGATATCTTTTTCCGTCAATTTGTGCACTATCTGGTTTTGCGTTTCTAATTTAACCAGGTTCGTTCTAATAAGTAAAGGGGCAGAAAGTTTTTTAAAAATTTTCCAATACCAATTTAAACAAATTCATTTTCTCTCATCCCGCCAGTAGTTTGTTGGGATGGAGAAGGAAAGGGAGATGGTCTATAGAATAGGTGATCAAATGTGATAAACTTATGTGCACAGTAAACAAGTTTTATCAACTGGAAGAGCATTCGCGGAAACAAACACCGAAAAATCAGGCTACAGCACAACAGCAATTCAGAAACAACCAATCAAAATGTACTACCGAATCCAGAAGTCGGAGTGAGAGACAATCGAATGTGGAAAGCCAGAATGCGACATGATAGAAATCGGTAACCGGTCAATCAGACCATGAACAAAAAGGTTTTCAGACGCAAACTACTTAAAGCAGCAATCGAATTCAGGGGATGCAAGCCTCAACGAAGCACAGTTCGAAGTCGACCATTTGGTCCTCGAGGAGTGTATGCTCCCTTCAGCCAGGCAGAGCCGTATAATATCAGATTGGAATGGAGTAACTTTCAACCCAACCACTCACTCATGATGTCACTTCGGTTGGTGATCAAACATTCGCAAGCTGATCACAACGAGCAGAGAACAGATAAACCCCATCCTGATAAAAGACCAAAAAACGGAACATTTTCAGATCAGGTTTGGTTAAAAACATGTGGCTTCTTGTATATTCCTGTTAAACATATAGGAGCGCCTCACGTTCGTCAGAAGTGCATACATTATGTATATATTTCACTAAAATGATGTAATCATGCTAATAAGAGCGTGTTTTTCAAAGAGCTGAGTGTGACTCTTCCAACGGCAAGATGTGAAAACTAGCTAAAGTGGAAAACTGCTTCCTCCCATCTTTATGCATTGCAAACTATAGGAATTCAACCAACGGCAGTCCGGATAATCAGATTTCCATCTCCATATTCACATGGCCATGGAAATAGTAAATAATTCGAAGTTAATTTGGCTACTGACTATATCAAGCAGCGTGTACAAAGTAATATTTTGATGGACGTGTTCGCTATGCTTCCATTTCCGCGGGTTTTCATTGTTGTGCTTTCATATCTGTGGAAGCCCCAGCGAATAAGCTACTTCTCAAGACCACCTTAACCTTTTTGTTCACTAACAGCGGTCCTAATGACAACGTGTTCATCTTCTTCTCTGGCCATGGTGCCACTTCCCTGATTGCCTTCCAAGAAAAAGAAGTAAGTTTAGTTAATTTCGCTAACCACGGTTTTAACACGCAGTTTTTTAATTGAAGGCTAAATAGTGAACTGATTGAAAAGTACTACGTCAACAGGTTGTTGTAATGACATCAACCGAAAAATGGGACACAAGCTACGATGTTCGTACGAAACCCTCAAGAGTGACATCCCTAGTTTGATAGGTCTCGTCAAGTTACTTAAAATGACACCGTCACATAGATTTATTTTTACGAAGTTTAAGGTCATTCGACTCACATGATTTCGCGTTCGATACATTCAGACCGCTGAGCAAACGTAGATACCATGAACAAATAAGCTGGTTGTATCCGGTCACTCAAGAGGCGTAGATGAAACGAAAAACGTGTCAGCCGATTCTTTGATGATAAGGCAACATAATGCTTTTCGCTTCTACGAGAGATCAGTCTTTAATAAAATGTCTAGAAGCAACGTACAACTGTTCCACCATTATTAAGAATCATCAGTGGTGCGCTTGATAAATGCAACGTGTAACCGTCGGCCATGAGCGACCAACCAATAGCCTGATTTATCCGCACTAAGTCGGGACATTCTTCAACCAATTGATCCACATCACTGTTGACTGTCTTATCGAGTGACTGATGTTGAGCTCACGAGAAATTTTATTCTTGTCTTGCGACAGCTGTATGCCATGGAGTTGAACGATACCCTTGCCTACATGCATTCAAAAAAAATGTTCAACAAATTGGTGCTGTACATGAATGCTTGCTACTCTGGCTCTATGTTTCGCGACGTTCTTCCTTCAAATATGGGAAGTAAGTAGCGTAAATTTCTTGCTGATTCATTAATGGGTCCTGTGAAATAGCTTTCGAAGTGTGAATTACATGTGGTTCGAAAGCGGCGTTGACCAGTGAAACCGAACGCTTCTCCAAACTTGGTTTATTCTTTGTATGGAAGTAACCCTTGACTCTACTCAAGAAGCGTTTAGCCGATGATACCACAAACTCTAGCCTCCATCGATCAATGTCGCTTCCGATAACGAACTGGTTTCATATGGGTGTAGGAAGTCATTGTGTAACCCTTGTAACCCTGTGATATTGTGGTGCCCTTTGCGGCAACCACCAATGCCAAGTGGATAAATTCATGATAAATTATAAATGAATCGGGGGACTTTTATTAAAAGTTCAATTCAACCCATCAAACTACAGGCCTAATGGTGTGCCGTGAGGACCTTTCGCCGTCCTCGACAGTGGTTTTGTAAAGTGAGTGTTACCGCAAAATACAGATTATACATTCACACACTTATTGGATTTTGACGAGCTTACCCAACCAAACCCAGATAAATGTCTCGTTCATGAGAGTGTTCGGCAAGCCTTGATTAAGTTTTCAGGACAGTCAACACTGCGTCGACCGGATTCGCCGCAGGAAGCACGAAAACCATGATGTTCCCTCAGTGAAATGTCAGCGACATTCTGAGTAGTATGATAGTTCTAGACTTCTTGCAGCTTCATCTGTTCTGTGAGTCACAGGATCCGTTTGCCGACAATTTACCTCACTATTTCACACATCTTTGATATTGACTTACATTGCCTGTTGTCCCAACCCCTAAACCTGCAGTCTATGTGACAACATCAGCTAATGAAAATGAACAATCCTGGGGTATTTTTTGTTTTGACAAGGAAATCGATGCTTGTCTAGCGGACGAATACTCGTATGACTGGATTTTAGATTCGGAATACGTAAGTTTTAAATGATTTGTTGCAGATAAGCCTGTCAGTTGTGGATGGTTATTCCGGAGGTACTAAGGAGACAGTGGTAGTCCACTTGGTACTCCAAATCATTTAATTTTTTTTCAAGCTTGATGAGAATTTATGGCAATTCAGCCATCGTCGCCCTCCGGTGGCCCTAAACTAACGAAATCATTGGTTGTAGGTCCGAAATTTCTCACTATCCTCCCAATCAGGTTTGCCTATGATCTTGCAGAGGAATATGATATAGACTAGCTAAATTCTGATTGCTATCAGTTTTAATTCGCGCTCAACGATGGAGACCGCCTGATTCCCACCGTTACTGCCCTTGAATCGATGTTATTGGAGATTTTGTTATCATTTTCGGTTAAGATCGCGTGAGTAATCGTCTAAAGCTGTAGGCGCATTAGAATAATTGTGGTGGGCTAGAACCAAAACCGTTCCCTATTGATTTTGATCCCTTTCTATTCAATAGGGCTCTGAATAGAAATTGAATGCACGCATGGAACCGTCAGCGTTTAATACGGATGTTGACAGTGATGACGTTGATGTTGATGATAATAACGATGATGATGATGGTGGTGGATCTCCTGAACGCCTTCGTCTCAATGAATCTATCGAAATGAATCAATATGTCAGTGGCATTCATGCTGTCAGTTTCTATTCAGATTGTCTGACTGGGTCTAGGATGTGTAGGTATCTCGGGTGTATGCTGTAGGCTAGCCTGAGGTTTTCCAAACTGTTCCATTATCCTGTTTTATTCCACTGCGAATAATTTGGAATGATTGTATGGCAGTGAATCATCAGTATTTACTCTGTCGTTGATCTCACTGATGATGACGATTATGATGATTGTGGTGGTGGCGGTGATCAGAACCATGGAGCATCAAATCATTAAGATACGTTGGATGTGCATATATGACGTCGAGGAACAGCGGAGTGCTCACTAATTTACCAGCAGTATGTTTCATACCTTGGTTTGGTTGTCCTAACTCGAGTGATAGTTTCAATGTTTTGTCTACAGCGCATTAGTCTTAAAATTGCGTAAGCTGATCTGTCTGCTTTACGTAGCTCCCCATTGTCATTATCTCCCCCTTCCCGCATACAGAATGACCTAAAAAAGCGCACACTGAAGCAACAATACGATGAGGTAAAAAGGAGTACAGTGTTCAGTCACGTGATGAAATATGGTGAAATGGTGAGTCACAATGGTGGATCATTGTGCAAAGTCAAACTGTTATGAAAATGAATGTAGTTATCGAGATGACGGTTCTATTTCGTTACCTGTGATAGGTTACGGTCAACGTTGCAAGTACTTGATTAAGGAACTCCAGGTTTCATAGACAAAGTTCAGCAAGTTTGCAAGTCGAGGCATGTAGATATCCAAGCCTAGCCGGCGTCAATTTCCGGGTAACCAAGCAACGGCTTCGGTTAACTTATGATTCATACTTTTCTGTGCTTCTGTACAAAAGGAAGTTGAATCTATATGAATCATTTACAAGTAATTCAGAGGAAGAATAGATTTCCACGATGACTGAATATTCCATCTGAACAGTTGACACTCGAGGAGCCTGGCAATATGTGGCCACGTGATGTGCTTTTCCGTGATGGAGCGATGAGTGCCTTGGATCTGAACGAGCAACTTAGGTGATAATACTGGTGCCATACACTGATGTCTGTGGGACGGTTTCGGAACTAATGTTCATTGATCAACCGGATTTTACAACATTAACACGTGAGTACTAAGGTTTATAATTACGCTCGCATGATGAGCCGCTTCTTCATTGTATTGAACAGGAAGATAACTTGGTTGATATCGAACTCACAGGTGTCTGTTTATTGTTTATTTCAGGCGTTGGAAAGTCTCCCAGTTGGAAAATTCCAGGGGCATTATGATATACTGATGCATCGAAACAACAGAACGATAGCAGTATGTGTTCTGCGGAAAACTCGATAATTTGAATCGTCTATAGGAACAGTTATATTGTACGCCACTGGATGTTTAAGGAGCGCAGTGACCACTTCACATTCCAAAAACAGTCTGAGAAGTTATCACCTCAGTGGCCGAAACACCTGGTATTCCAGCAATCATCGACGAAGACTGCAAATTAACAGCTGACTCAATAATCTCAATTAAAATATATTTTGAGCGGAACAAGATTTACTCCGATAAACCAATCCATGTGGTTCCCTAAAAATATATAAATAGATAGATTGATAGATAGATAGATAGATAGATAGATAGATAGATAGATAGATAGATAGATAGATAGATAGATAGATAGATAGATAGATAGATAGATAGATAGATAGATAGATAGATAGATAGATAGATAGATAGATAGATAGATAGATAGATAGATAGATAGATAGATAGATAGATAGATAGATAGATAGATAGATAGATAGATAGATAGATAGATAGATAGATAGATAGATAGATAGATAGATAGATAGATAGATAGATAGATAGATAGATAGATAGATAGATAGATAGATAGATAGATAGATAGATAGATAGATAGATAGATAGATAGATAGATAGATAGATAGATAGATAGATAGATAGATAGATAGATAGATAGATAGATAGATAGATAGATAGATAGATAGATAGATAGATAGATAGATAGATAGATAGATAGATAGATAGATAGATAGATAGATAGATAGATAGATAGATAGATAGATAGATAGATAGATAGATAGATAGATAGATAGATAGATAGATAGATAGATAGATAGATAGATAGATAGATAGATAGATAGATAGATAGATAGATAGATAGATAGATAGATAGATAGATAGATAGATAGATAGATAGATAGATAGATAGATAGATAGGTAGGTAGGTGGGTAGGTAGGTAGATAGATGGGCAGTCAAACAGAGACCGATGTATAGGTGGGCACGTATTTTGATGAATAGCGGATGATCTACTTAAAATTAGCGGAGCGAGCGAGTGGTAGATCAAACACATCGAGTGTCTGATTATTTTCTGTTGTGTGATGAACGATAATAGACCTGATATCGGAGACCTATCAATCTAACTGACAAGCATTTCGCCGGTGGCAATTCTTCGTCGATCTCATGTTACACCCTCCGGCGGAGTATGGTGTTCATCACTGACCATGAAAAGATCACAGAAATTGTCACCTGCTTAACTCACGGTGCTACCTAATTCTGCAATGGGATCGTTGATTCATCAACGAGTTTGGTTGAATATGGTCATGGCATAAATCTACCCATGAGAAATAAGGCTTCGTTTCAGATAATCAGCGAAATCCATGAAACGTGTAGTGATGTTCTACGTACTTCAAACTGATGCTCAGAACTGATGCTCGTCAGTTATTTGCGTTAGCCTGGCAACCGAGTGATTTTATGTAGTTCCTTATCAATAGCGAGTAGTTTGGGAAGTCAATTCCTTCAATCAGCATTGACAGATCACATGTTAACAATAAGCGTTGCATAATTGTTTTCTGGGTTCCAGCCGAATGCTGTTGATGGAAAGCCCTCTTGCCATGCGCATTTGTTTTCAAAATCTCGACGCTTGATGAAGGCCGCAACCGAGGAAGAACAAGAAACGGCTTGGCGAAAGCTGCACCGTGTACTTCGGGTTTGTAGTTTCCTATGCTTATCCAGTTGATGTAATCAAAGGAACTGGGTGGATGATAAAAGATATTTTTATGTTAGAGTCTATTTGTGTGTTGGGGAATAGGTATTGAGGATGCATTGGAGTAGGCCTACGTAATCAGTGCAATATTATATCGGCCGTTGCTTTAAGCCACACAAAAATCCAACGTGATCCGTATAGATGTGCAAGATATCTTCAATAGTCTGTCTACAACCTCCGACAATTATTCTTCTCGCTTCTTCCAGCTTAGCCACATCGTCAAGGAAACGTTTCGTGACATCGTCGTGGTTGCGACAACCCACTACAAGCCAACGCTAAAGGGCTTGTCCAAAGTGGATGAGCTCATGTGCTTCAAGGCAGTATTCGATCAATTCCGGACTCACTGCTTCACAATTCAGCAGGCAAGTTGACCTCGTGATGCACGAAAACAAGGGGTGCCTAAAACTATGCATACATTAGTAGCCAATGTATTCACCCACGGCATCACGTTAGGCGAGACTTAGTCTCAAAATTACTCTTAGTTAAACATCCAGCAAATGACATTCCGGGGCATATGTGGTGCTGACAGTTCAGTTCGGTTCAGTTCAGTTCATTTTATTTCAGCTCAGTTCAGATCACTTCAGTTCAGTTCAGTTCTGTTCTGTTAATTTCACTTTAATTCTAATTCAGTTTAGCTTGGTTTAGTTCAGTTTGAACCCATTGCAAACTGAGTTCTAATCAGCAGAAAGCAACCACCACGAAAATTTATAGATGATATTGCAAGTGGTACAGGACAGTCGTGAATATAAGTTTCATCGTTTGTGCTCAACAATGCTAAGGAATTTACTCAAGTATGATTTGACCACAATCGCGCAATCGTTAGGTTTTTATTCAAAAACGCATAAATCCGGGGAACATTTACCGAGCAAGTCGATGTCCAACAAACAGATACCTGGAACAATTGGTGTGGTAAAACTGTAGAAGGCAAGCCCAAGAAGATAGCCACGTCTAATCAACTCGGATAAGCTCATATGAATACTTCTGTCTTACTTTGAGTGTGTATCGTAGTTTCAATGTTTTAACAATCACTTTCAAATCTCTGTTAACTTAAACTCTAGTTATTCTGTGTAGGGTGGTATACATCCCGCTTTCTGATCAACGAGACCAGCCATTTCGTACAAACCTCGTTCGATTCTACCTGCCAGTATTTTGCCTGAAAGCCCACAGATGCCCATCTATTGCGCCATGTGATTCACTAGCGTTCGTGTATCTGTGCTCTTCTACAATGTTTCCGTAGAGGAATTCTGCTATTAATTTCACCATTTAGAATTGATCGAGGACAAACACGCAAAAACATTTCATCAGTATCACACCTGTCCGAAAAGCATACCATAACTTTGTTTATTACAAGAATCGTTCATTATTTTTCGGAACCACAATATTAATCTGTACAGTGGAAGTCCAGTGGAAAGCGCAGGCGTTCTACTGGTTATGTGTTGTCATTTGATTTGATCTAATGGCGGGGGGAATGAGGGGGAATTCATTTTCGTACTTATATCGATATATATAGACGAATTAGTAACTCAAAATTAAGCGCAGCGTAACAACCAACGCGCATGTTTTAGGATTGGCGAATAATTGCAACGAATAGGGTATCAGTCATGTTCATCAGTTTATCAACCGAAAAGAACCCAGACACTTCCCTGTACGGAGGACTAACTTATATTTCTTCGTTGGATTATCAACAAACCATGTTGCCTGAGTGATTTCAAAATTCCTAGAACAGTCTCGATCGGTTTCTCTTCCTCCACATTCACGATCGACGGCTGTTTTAACCAGAATCCAATCTTATCATGGACGTTCGTTACTATTCCAAATACCTCACTATTGGCACAGCAAGATTAGATACATAAACTGGACTACACATATGGTTGCTGCAAAGGTTTAGACAGCTGACGACCAGTTTCGTATTTCTCGAGGCCCATTAGGTAGGCGCACCTCCTGAGATTCCATCAGCCTTGTATTCTGGATAATCATTCGGTGGAAGCGAGACATTATTGTCGGTTCACTTGTGTTCCTTGTCGAAACCAAATCCGTTTGCAGGCGGAAGTATTTGTCAAAATCTGTCGTGTTCAAGTAGAACGTGAGGTTGACAGAAATTTTGGGACTGCGACTACCTGATGAGCATGAGCGGAACCGATCGTAGTTATACTACGTATTTTGTTGCGTGGAGATTCACTCTTTTGCTACATAGCTGAAAAATTTCTCGTATACATCGCTAACGTCGTGCGAGTTTATATCAAAACGTTTCAAAATGTCCAAAATTCCGATATGCCGATACTCACCCACCCCTCTCACAAATACCAGTTTTAATCGCTGACCTAATATCTACTTCACATTCAGTGATGCTCAATGAAAAGCATCCCCAGTGTTTAGCATATTTCCCAAATTTTCTCGAGGATGCTGAACTCTGCTGGTGAACGTTGGAAAGAATCGTGTGGGAAACTTCCTTCCTCTTGCTTTGAAAGCACTCTCAGTCATTATACAAACCTATTGCTCAAAATGAAGAGACTTCATTTTCTTGGTTAATCATTCACTTCCATGATCAGCTGTAATTCTCTTATCGATCTGTCCTTAGGTCCCCGAGGTAGCTCAGCATACAACTCATTTAATGGAGCTGTGCAAAGCTGGATACGAAGCTGAAACGCTCATCGGCTCTGTCCAAAACGTTTGCTCCTAACGCAAACGCAACTTGTTGCCTAATTTTGCGAAAATAGAATGAATTACAGCTGTTCCGTTTCGTCTTTTGCCATCTTTGTGAAACACGGGTTGTTTTTCCATCAAGCTAGGCGTCCAAAATCGTTCGGTAACAAGCAATAGCATTCAGGTATTCTCAGGCCATGTGGACTCATCAAGACGCCCCCACATTTCTGACGTACCAGTGTACGATAAATGCACAGGACGAACAAAAATAGGCCAGCCGGCCGACACAGGTACATCAGTTTTGTGTCGTTTGTCGACACAAACACACTGCTCAATTTTCAATGTTTCTCGTGATCACTCTAGCCGTGATATAAACGCATCATCAAACATAACCCCATCGACTTGGAGTATGTTCTCACACATTCCTTAAAACTTTATCGTATATTTAGATAAGGTCGTTGGGAAAGCCTTAGTTTGTCTTACATTCAGACTGGTGAGGAGTCTTTTGGAATTTTTTATTTTGGGCACTTGTTCTCTCGACATATTTTCAAACTGATTTTGTTGTATCAGATTCGTCAACTGGTTGATTTTTATGCGCATGGGACGGGAAGGTTATCGACCAAAATCACTATCCAGGTACTCCATAGAAGCATTTCTGGATACACCAGATGCGCAGTACTGCAGAGAATTCAGCACAATGGACAGACCGGTTACCAGGGCGGAAGAATACCTGCTTGGGAACTGACTAATAAAATGCCAGGCGTCAAAGCAGGCCTGTTGGTCACTCAATTGATACTCAACAAAATCTCTACAACTATACTTGAAATGACCTGCTACAATAAGATTGCTGAAAAACCTCCAGTAACTAACTGCAGGACTCACATTTCTAGGTTTCATTTGATAGGCGTACTAAGCGAAGCTTGATAGGAAATCAGAGACGAATAAGCGCATGGGACGGGAAGGTTATCGAGTAAAGGCGTTGTGACAGTTGATTCACCGGTTCCACGGAAGTCTCTCTTAGGATTAACGTACAAAATCATTCCGTACTGGACCATCCTTCTGCAGTTGGTCGGAGCTGTCAACATACAGACTGCGACTTGTATCAAGCCAAAACCCCAACTCAGACAGTAATCCGATTACTTCGTTTACACACAAAATTTAGCGATCAATTAATGCGCGTTTTCGCCACGAACCGGTGGAACTCTTTGGATGAATGTCAGAGTAAAATAAATGGAATGCTACTGTTACTGCTTTCCCAGTCCTGTGCCCAGTGTCAGAAAGGGTACACAAAAGCATTATACCAAACGAGCGAGTGCATGCTAGTGTAAAAGGTACAACGGCTCCGCGCTATTTAAAGAGAGATTTCTGGGATTAATACAGGCGTTTAGTGAACACCCATCGAAATCTTTCGTGATTCTGAGAGATGCCTGAACGCAAATCACATTTGGTCGTGGTTCTGTGGCCTGCATGAACGCTCGCCGGCTTTTGCCAAATTGATTGAATGATTGACTGGCCTGGATGCTTGCCGGCATTTCTATTCAAATTTTGGTGAATTTCAAGGGTCTCAGTAGGTTCCGACCATCCTAGGGTTACCTTCAGGATTCAGAACTTTCTGATAGATAAAATACTCTCATTCGCATATTAACTACGTCTCGTCGGGGGACTCAACAGAACCCAAAGAAATCTTCCGTATATACTGGTCTATTTCAACAGGACTGAGAAGTAAACTAATTTTCAAGATTCTTTTCAAAGATGAGTAGGTTTATTCTTCTTGGTGCGTATGTTATTTTATCATATTATTTTTATATATTATGTTTATTATATTATTCGTATCATAAGGATAGATCACCTGAACGTTGTCGCTCCCGAGAATGAGGAGGACACCGTTTGCAGGAGTATGATGTTTGACCCAGTCAAAATTCCCGGAACAAACTAAAGTGAATTGATATTTTGTTCACTAGCCTTCAGGTTAACTAACGCAAATGATTTCTTCTGCTTCCCACATTAGGAGACATAGGATGGAGCGAGTCGCATGAAACTTAAAATATCATGATTTGCCCATACGGGTCGTGCTACGAAAACGACAGAAGCGAATAACGCACATCGATCCAGCCACTTTTCACAAGTTTTTAGATTTACGACGTAAAACGCGGTACAAATAGCAGATGCTCCCTATCGGAGTGAGGACATTTTCCCTAGACAGCTCGAGATAGCTATGTGGTTAGGGAGCGAACTTACTGGTCGGAGGGTTCGCGGTTCCAGCCCAACCCTGGCATTTTGCCTGCTCCAGTGTAGAATTGGGCGGGATCTCAATCTCGAAATTTTTGGGTGGAACGGTACAACATCTGGATTGTTAATTTATATTCTTTGCAACTTGTGTATTTCAATTATATCGTTTCGTTCGGCCAACACAAGATCTGCTACAAAGTATTCATTAGTATTTGAAACAGCATGAGTGCCATTAACAGTTGACCTCTGGTAGTGACGCCAACTTGGGACGTCACAATACCCCCAAATCGTCTGGAATAATATTCGTAACTTGTTGCAATACAGCTGGTGAAACATTTAGACCAAAGAGAAGGACGTTATGTCGGAATAACCAAAAACGTGTGTTGAGCACCAAAATATTACTAGAGGCATCCTGCAGTGGTGTTTGAATATTGCATTTATTAGATCGATTTTTAAGAAGACACTTGTGCGCTAGCCGTGAGAGCAGCGAGGGATTCCGACTGAAATTGGACGGATTGTCAATGCACTGAATGCGCCAAGGCGACAGGTCCGTGCAGCACGATCCTCTGGTCAGCCCAGACATCAAGCAGACAAACTTGGGAGAACATTCTGCCAAGAGCGCAGAATCCGTGTTTGATCTTAGACGGGAAAGATTATTGTGATGTGGTTCGTGCCCCAGACAAAACAAACGGCATCCGTTGAAAATATTATAGGATATTCGCAAATGTGAGCGCCGTATTCTCCCGGTATTTTGCGTCGACAGATATTTGCCAGCGTTCGGAAAGGAAGCCCAACACTGTGAAATATCGGGAGTGCTAGAGGGAATCGACCAGGTTGCATCTGAGTGAATCTGGCATATTTTCCTGGAACACCGCAATTGCGACGTTGTGCTGCCCGTGACGCCACGCGTCTTGAGACAGAAGCTGATAGTCAAGTGCCACCAGGTGGCACACACAGGATACACAAGACATATGACTTAATTCGGCAGGAAGTCCAGTGGCCCAAGTTTAGAGGTGAGGTGATGGATTGTGAGAAGTCCTGCAAGTGGTACCAACTGATGAAAAAGGGTACGAAAGAGGCGACCCATCCCATGGAATCTTCGCCTGTCTCGGAAATCGCCTATTTTTTCACCGCTGATATCATCGTCCCTTCTCCGGTGACGACCGGCAAAAATCAATTTATCGTGACAATGACAGAACACCTGTCGCACTGAATCGAATCAGCAGCCTTGTGAAAACGACCGGCGATGACGATCAGCGGAGTTGTAATGCATCACATCGTGGCCAATCCTAGGATGACGAGACTGATCGTAATCGATCAATAGCCTTGCTTTGAGAGCGAGCAGCTCAAGAGTTGGAGAATATACACTGATTTGCAAACTAATTTGCGATGTTTGGTTTATCGAGAGACTTACCTGAAACCAGTTCACGTGTGTGATGTTCCCAAGCAACTGAGTGTGCTGCACCAGGCCGCTCCATGTTTCAGTAGCTACGATATTCCAGATACCGCGAAACATGTGTATTTGCAGTGCGCTACTCATAAAGTTGCTGAAAATTCGTCGACACGTTACGACCGTCTTTCGCCCATCTTAGGGTTCATCAGATAGGCCCAGCCCCCGAGTTTCCGTCAACATTCTGTTCTATTTGAAACCAAATTGCACGAAATTACCGAATATACACTCACGTACAAACTTAGGTGTTGCTTACAGATATTGGGCACCGGACGGAAACGGACGGCAAGATATCACCGCAAACGAGCGATGTAATCGAACCATCAAGGAGTGGCAGGAGCCCGAAGGAGGCGACCGGTGCCAGCGATGCTGCTAGCTTATTGAGCTTACATACAGTAAACTAAAGGCAACTCCTTTTTCATGGTGATGTAGGGTCGACATCCGTCTCTTCTAGTTGATCAGAAAATTTGCGTACGGCGGGTATCACACGTTAGAATTTGCCTGATAGTCAGTGAATATCCAGGGAACTTTGAGAAGATGCGTTAAAGAAGAAGAATAGTTTATTTTGAAACAAGTTGCATAAAGGGATTCAGTTTCCTGATCCGTTGTCTGCAAAATTACAATTGGTGTTTTCTAATAAACATCTAGCGGTTGAGGGCTTCCCTGCATTCACTGGTACATAAACCACAAAATGGCTATTGGAGGTATTCCGTATACATGTCGCTGGATACTATCAAGTAGAACGTTGACCCCTCCGAAATCAATGAGCTAGGTGTTCATCAACTTCAACCTAACGAAATCATGTTTGATGTATCACCAGTAAGTTCCTAGGCTCTGAGGGAGTGCTCCAGTTTGGTGATTCTTCGTTATCGTTCCCCGAGTTTCCATCTACCCCATATTCCACTTGAACCGAACTTGGAGAGATTATGAGAACTTCACTCATTTACACATGAATTTGGTTTTTCACAGGACAGATGAATCCAGTTGAATTGACTTTTTGTGATGGTCCGCTAAACTAAATGTGGTGCACAAGCCTGCTTAGCATTCTAGTTGGAGTGATACTCGAGGCACGCAATACGCTGTAGATTAGGCGTCAGATATTACCAATAAATGTGCTGAAAACTCTTGGGCAATCAATGACAGGTGCAAATGATTGGTGTGCAAATAAGACCAGTTGTCGACAGCCAAATAGGACGAAACTGCTACACGGTGATTCTCGAATTTTCAATTTGGAGTGCCTTCGCTAACATGTCACAGGAAGGATAATTTGATCGAATTGCGAAACTTACACTTGAGAAGCTGTCACTCGAGGAGGCGGTCAACACGTGACCATGCAATGTGGTTTTCCGTTATTGGAGGATGAGCGGCAATATGTCCAAACATGGTGAGGGCTAATCACTTTGCTTATGTCAAATAATAGACCGATTGCGGTAAGATAACCTGAAAATGATCACAGCGAACGGTATTTCGGCGGATGCTGCCCGGATAATCGAACGAAGACAATTATTTGCATAACGCGCAGTGCCAGTTGCACGACTGAATGCTGCTCGAAACCCCTGTCTGCGATTAAGAGAATGACTGTCAACCGGTATCACAACATTGTCATTTACAATTGCGTTGCACTAACCAGTTGAATCGTAATGCATTCCGCCTGGAACTGTCTAGATACCGCCTCGTAACATGCAACTTCCTCCGACTTTGGCAATCGGCGGGTTTCTCCTAGATGCTGGGTTGTTGGAGCCATGAGGGAAGTGCCCAACTTTACTGTCGGTTCACTCATCGATCATCGAGGCTTCCTCTAGTGAGTGATTGAACGAAGTGGTTGATCTCCTTTCGACTTTGCGGCCTTCCAAAAATCCATAAACCAAATGTTCCGGTGGGACAGATATTAGACGGAATAAGTTCCCCACCGCATGAACTGGCCAGATTATTGGTCGGTATTTCAAAGTCCCTCACCGGGAAATCTAGTGCTTACATTAAAAGTCACGTGGCTTCGCCACCAAAGTGGCGGGAGTTACTGTTTGATCAGGTATGTTTACTTGCCGAAGAATTCGAACAGATAGCCTTAGCTGGATTTCCATACCCACCTAAGATATTTTGGCAGTGTGTTAACGTCAATGTTTTAATGATGATGCAGGAAGCTTTTAGTGACATTTACAATTATCTGAGTGAAATGCACTCACGTGTCATCTTTGGTATCGCGCGAGAGTCATTTTCGGGTGCCCTGGCCTGTTCTTGGTGAGATTTTGAATTTAGAATAAACATGGTCATGCATCTTGGTCATATTCGTTCGTTCGCTCGTCTATCGTTTGCTTGGATTTATATGATAATCGTTTTGAAAAATTTTACACATAATGTGTGCTTCCGTATCCATTTTTCAATTCCGTGGGTAATAATTTATTACCACTGAGTTTCGCCGCAATGTCACTATTTCTCAAGTACACAAACGAACGACAGATTCGGTCTTGTTTATGAGGATACCCAGATTACACAGCTCCGGTGAGCAGGTCGTAGTTCGGACACTTCACAGAATGTGAAACTTTGGCCCATACAATCCCCTCCAGAGTAGACTCATGCTTCGCGTTTTTGGGATAATGCATCCGAATACTGCTGGGATAACAGATACTCCACCAATTATGGATTATCATACACACCCTGCTTGCCTACTTCAGACGCCATGCCTCACTTTGACCGTTATCCCAAATTGACGTTTCATTTGTGTTCTCATTCAGGCGGGCGTTTACCACGCTTGCGGGTTCATCGTGCAAACACCCGCGGAGAATATAATTACCTTCGCCTACGCCGATATTGCAAACAATCCCAAGTAAATATACCTTAAGATTTTCGCTATATGCTAATAACTATAATCTAGAAATCGCCCTACGTTGTTTGACCTTAACACGTCTCATTTTTGTTTCGTGTTTCTCATATATATAATTGTTGAATTGGATTGCTTGTTTCATGTTTCTTGTGTCCCTTTAGATGTCTTGCCAGATTTTCTTTTGTTTGACGACTTTTCATGAGTCTGGACGCCATAGAACAGTGATGAAAGCAGCACAATCCGACGACGATAATGATGGGGATGACTATGATGCTGATGTGCACTCGTTCGAGTACTCGTTTCCGTAGCCTGAAATGAAACACATTGATATCTAGATGTCGTTTTGTTACATCAACCAGCCGATGATTTGGTTCAAATAGTAAGTAGAAAATCTGGTAATCTAAACATTTTTTGAGGCATCCGGGGACAACGGACCTTCTAAATCAATGAAATTTGATTCCTGCATGAAGACGTTAATAATCGTAAGTCGTTTATTGCCTCATCGGTCGTTCGCCTGTAGCATCTTATTAGTGCCTAGTTGCCATGGCCCACGAAGATAGGACGAGGTCTAGAGAAATGCCATGTCAGAGGTACGAGTCAGAGGTACGACTGGGAAGAAATTTTCGGTCAGATGATTGGTTCTTCCTACGCCTTAAATCTTGATCAAACTCGGCACCTAATCACTTGGTCTGACGAAGCTTTTGTGACAGAAGCGAAACCTCGCCCAGGAATCAATCTGCCTATCGTCACCAAACTTTTTCGAAAGATAGTTTTTATTGCGTTGCTACGCTGAAACATGATGTTTTCCAAAAGGGACTGCCTCAAAAGCGAAAGCGGGAGCACATCTTCAGCGGTGCGATACTAACCAAATTCCACATGAAGCAAATCAGCACATAAAATGCAGTTACATATGCAGTTACGGTAATTGTCGAAAACTATATGGCATGTGAAACTGAATACCCAAATTTATCAACTTAGTCACCTACTCAGTTATTGTAAGCAGTTTACATTGATTCAGTTGACGTTCCGCGCAACAAACATAGTCTTGCGAAATTCTCAGAAGGATAAATCTATGTCCAGAGTCAAGGATCTCTTGTATAATATTACCGTCTCTTCCAGAAAATTATCACACAATCGAGATTTCATGATACCTTGGTTTGAAAGACTGTCCTTATTCGTAGCCCATGAACTTCTCACAAATATTTACAATTCTTGTTACAAATAACCCACTTTTAAGACGCTGCAAGATAGGGTAGGTAACTGATGTCACTCACGTGCTTGTTATCACTCTGTCTCTCTCTGGGAACAAGTCATTCTCCAGCTACGCCGTAGAAACCTCCTCCCGAAAGTTCAATTTGCCTGAGAAGCCCCGGATTATTATGTGCCTTTGTCCAGAATTTACTGACTTTTCTCAAATACAGCCTTCGCATCTCCACTACTCCAGGCTAGGTTTGGGTTACCCGGCGATTGCTCAGCACTTGTTCTTCCCTCGGAAAATATGGCAGGGGGAATACCAAAACGATGTTGCCGCTGAAATATTACCAATAATATCCTTCCCAATAATAAAGCTGCTACTTTGCCACTTTGGATTTCAGCGAATTATATTCAACTGTAGTGCTGTGAGGGTCATAAGTTCAGGGCCATAGTCGACGGCATGGTGTATCGATTCAGGGACTGTAATACATGCCGAGACTTCTGATGTAATGAAGCTTTCAACGGAATATATTTTACCCAAATTCTTAGTACAGTACGGAAAATTTCAAAGCTGTGCTTTCAATATTCTGTTGCATTTTATTAGAGGCAACCCTCAACCAGTTCAGTCAGGCTGTCGTTCCTTAATTTGCCTGTCGTAAAACAAGGTAAATGTTGGGCCAAAAACTGCTGATCAGTAGCGCGATTAGCTCCCAGTTAGACTGGATATAGCGCCAATCATCCTTCAATCACAGAAAACAAGTCCCATAGTCACACATCGTTGACATATTCCTCGAGTGACGACTTATCAAAAGAAAGTTCCCGTCATTTTATAAAACCATTATTTCTCTGATATACTCATGGATTGCTGGTTTTAACAGTTATACCACAAATGGGACGGGCATGAGAGTGATATGTTCTATTCCTGTAAACTCGCTTGAAAAATGAGGTCTTTGCGGAATTTGTGGAATCGCTTTTTACCATTTGCTTGGGCTTGAGCAACACTCATTGAATATACAGAGACGTTCAGCATGACGCGTTTAGGCAAAGATGGATGTTTCGTTTTTCTATCTAGTTTGCATATGAGGGGTTTGCCTTCCTTTCAAATAGTCTGTAACAGGTTAATTGGCATTTTGGGATAAATTACTCCCCAGGGAACGCATCATTCTTTTATTTGGTGGCGTGACCAGCATAGGGATCAAGATTTCGTGGCCGATAACTTCTGAGGAGGTGGAGGTTCGGAAGTTCGTAGGGTAATTTGGGGATGTCGCGGAGGCCACCGGACTGGAGACTGACCGGAGAAAGTGCGCGACGCTGAAGATACTTCTTAGGGCCGCACAAAGTCGCCACTATATGCGGCCAGAAGAGGTTGCTTGAAGATGGACTAGGCTTCCGCAAAGGAAGGAAGCGAGATCGACAAGCCAGCCGACCGCTCCAGTGACAAGGTATGGCGCAATCAATCCTGACGGTATTCCAAGCGCTGCCTTGAGGCTGGTCTGCGGATAAATTAAGTCAAGACACAGCTCGCACGAAGATCGGTGACACCTCTGGATCATAAAGTGGGTTAGCCCACCGCCACAAAAAATCGGTAAATTTGAAGCAATGTGCTGTTTTCAATTCAAAGCGGTCTCTAGGGCAGTTTCCTGTACGCGCAGCATACTAGAGCCTGCTTGTTGAGGGTTTCAGCACGATCGCTCCAATTGATCGACCTGCTCGGACATAATCGGAAATTTGAATGGACCAGGGAAGCATTTGAGCGTGTCAATGCGTGGTTGTTGGACCAGCAACTAACCATTACTGTTGCAACGAACACTAGTGATTGCGGCATCGGCGCAGATCTAGAGCAGCGGAATGGGGTTATCGAATATACCCGTCGTGTTCTGACTAACGCTGAACAGGAGTACGCAACCTTCAAGAAATAATTTTTAGCGATCGTCTGGGCCCTGGATAAATGAAGACCATATCTGCTTGCGCAAAGTTTCATGTCGAAACCGATCCCGTTCACAGTTCAGCAGAAGCTGGGGATCAGACACCTTAGGATGGCACCGCACCGCCCTCAAACAAATGGCCTAACCGAACGTATTAAACGAACGATCAACGGGGGGGGGTGAGGGCCAAACGAGGTAACTGGGAAGTGAATTTGCCTACGGTGTTTCTAGTGCATCGTGCACACATACAGCCAACTACAGGCAAGTCCCTGTTTATGCTGATGTACGGTCGAAATCTGCGCCTTCCGGTTGATCAGGCTTGTGGTCGGCAAAACGCTTGTCTCCGAGGAATCTGTAGGAAGAAGTTAGGAGAGCTCGAGGAAACTTCACCATCGTTCAGGAAAGGACTTGGCAGAAAACGGCAACTAGACAGGCACGAACATTTCCCGTAGGCACGAAGTTCAAGTGGAATGATCACCAGAATCCTGAAATGAGGGAGGTGGGCTCGCGAAAGCTAGGCAGTCGATTGCGGGCTTCGTTTTTTGTTGCCGACCGCTTTTTTAAAGTCCATACGATTCAAGATGGTCGAGGATCGAAAAGAGTCGATGAGACGCAGATTCAGAAACGGCTTGATACACCTTAAATGCGGCCGATTAGACCCGCTGAGGAAGCCGACCTGAAGGATGTAAATGAAAATTATTGGCATACGAACGACCTTTAAATTTTGGTGTGTAACGGTCATATTATTGATGGGGCAGGCATGTGGATAATAAGTAAGCTTCTTGCAGACTCGCTTGAACAGTGAGATATTTGCGGTATTTTTGGACCTGAGCAACACCC